GGACGGCTGGCTGGCAGCAGGCAAGGCGGAATCACAGAGAGGTCCGGGGGGAGAGGCATTGAATACGGCGGGGTGAGGGTAAAGTTTCTGGGCGAGGGGCAGGTGGGGTTATAAGGGGACGGGGACGTATGAGACAAAGTGGGGGGAAAACGAACGAGAACGAGCGAGCGACCGAACCGACTGACGACGTAGCGTCGCGGGGGACGGAGGTCTACGCTAGCTCAGGACCGTTACATTCAGGTCCCCTCAGTGCCACTACTTCTCGTCGAACACATATTTTTCCCTTTTTTTCTCATTTTTTTGATGTATATTATTATATCGTTGGATCTTAGATCTGTAAGATAATATAGACAGACTTTTAAATATAGTAAATTAATGGAAAATATGAAAAGTTTATTTTAGATAATAACGGCATGTTGGAAAGAGAGATCCATGTATACAACCCTAAAGATCTCCGCGACTTAAAGGTGATAGTTTAGAAACGTATTAACTATAATGTTGTAAGGTTTTACAATGTGTTGTATGAAATTGTTTGTTTGGTAAGTTCGTAGGATTCACAACACCAGAACTATAAAGTTTATGCTAAAGAAATTTAAGTTGAAGGTATATGAAAAAATATATAAATTTTATTATCATACGAACTGGAATCCTCAATTATGCACATACATACATACATAATCTTATGATCATTCAAATTCCTAAAAATATATTGTCGATCTATGAAATTTCCATGAAAAATTATGAATTAGTTATTTTAATCACTAATAATTCTAGTGTTAACTTACATATATATATGACAAAACGCTGATCTATGCAAAATGCTGTTGTATGTATGTATGTATGTATGTATGTGTGGATAAAAACTGCTTTTAATTGACAATTAAATGTAACTGAGAAGAAACACTGGAAAAAGTATCATTATTTAACAAAAACGTTTGATCTCATATCTTGATGAAAAAATTAAGAAATGTTAGATGTTAGATCAAATGTTCAATTTCATCTTTTTATCATGAATTTATTGTTTCTGTCCGACTATCATTTATTATGATATTTATAAAATTTTTTCTTTTTATGGCAAGAAACTAAGTATTCCAGTAGCGTATATACATTATATTTACATTTTTTTCAAATTTTATCGTTTACTATTACATATTTCATTATTCGTGCTATTCGATATACATATTTCAAGTACTGCTATTTACATTCAAATTTTCATTCATTTTTGTTGCGCGTTCTTTAATTTAGGCTTTCACTTAGAATTCGGAATTTTTATGAACTAGATAGATAATACATTAGTACCTATTTAATACATTTAGTAAAAATGAAAAAGACAAACGAAATATACTATGCCATACAAATACTTTAGATTTTTTATTGATATAAAATGATTCGATGTAACGTACGATAAAAAGTAAAAGATGATTAGTCGAATGCAGATGATTTTAATTCTAAATAAAAAGTAGCATTATAGCTATAATAGGAGTAACTTTTAATCTTTAACATACATATCAAATTTCCTTTCTTACATATTTAACTAAAACATATATTCAAGAATATCTACATTTTACGATGTAACATTGAACATTCGTCTTCGAAATTTTTCATTCTTTAAGAAAGATACACGTAATCAGAATCTTCCCAATCATTTTACTAAAATCCTGAAATAGAAAATGACAAATCTCTGTAATTAAACCAATAAGAATATAAAGAGTTTGTTATCAAATATCATACCTTGCATCATTTATTATCATCAATTCAAATAAGTGCAAGAAATTCTTCTTTTCTTAAAAATCATTGATAATTGCTCTTATCTAACTATACTTCAATCCTGAAAAAATAGTCATATCAGCGGCAGTTGGTGTGTTAATTTCTACTAATAATAAAATTCGACTTTCAAAAGCGTAGGTGCAAGTAAGTTAAGAGCGATGTATACGGCACTGTATCGGGCACAAGCAAACTCGCTGCCTTTGCGGCCGGGTAGAAGGGAAGAGAAGGGTTGGGTAGAGGGAAGAGCAGCGAAATGAAGAGGAGGGGCCGGGAGGGGCTGTGAATAGTACGGGTAGGGATGTCGGCCGTTGTCGGAGGAGGGTATATGGTTGATCCTGGCCGCGCACATATGAAGGTACGAGAGAGACGGGTAGAGCGTGTGAACGAGCAAAAAGGAACGGAACAGTGCAAGAGCCCGGCAACGATGCATTACTGGCATACGCATGGCAACGTCGCAAAAGGCTTCATGGACGCCAAGCAATCCACCAACACACAAGTATACGGAGAACGGCAGACCAGAGAAGGAAAGAATCCCGTTTTACTGAGTTGAAGGAGATAGAAAGAAGGGGGAGAGGGGGGGGGGACAAATACACGAGAGAATGAGAGATCTACCGAGTCTTAAACAGGCTACGAAGTTTTCCACTGATCTCTTGAGATTTCAGAAAAACGTTTGACATATTCTAAATACATACATGTATTTGTATATGTACGCGTACGAAATAGTTTCGTTTCACTAACTTACTTCATGTATATAATATACGTTGTACTGCATACTCGAATGTATTATTATCCATACATTATATCATTTCTCTTATTCCAATATCGTGAATGTACTATTCAATAGATTATAGAAATTCTCGATTAAATATAAAATAAATGAAATGATGAATCAAGTAGAGTATAATCACTGTTGTTATACTACGTTTGTTGTGCCACGTCCAGCATTTTATATAATTTATAGAGTCGAGATTTGAAGAAGACATTAAGTTCGCTTCATTACCGAAAAATAAAAAATTTATACATTCATCATTTTGGCATAAGGGGTTTCATCATTTATTATACAATTCCTATTATTGTGATATGTTTCGGTTTCGAACTTTACCATATTACAACATGGAAACATATAATAATTATGAGAATAGTTTATATATATAATAAATAAATTGCATGTTAATAAAATGAAATTATGTAATAAAATATATTAGTAATCTTATAGATTGCGGATGTTTGAGCTTTTATGGGAAATTTAAAGATGCAAAAATGCATGTACAGGATGCATATATAAATGTAAAAATAAACAAAATATTCGAAAAAGTAGTCGTTATAATATTTAGTGGACGGATCAAACCTTTGCTTAGATTTCATATCATTGAATGTGTTCATAAAAATATGAATTTACATAAACACCCATAATCTATTTATAACTTCAAAATCTTTGAATCTAAAAAATGAATTATTTATCTTGTAAGCCAGAATTTACAGTAATGCTTATACCACACAAGCTTATAATGCAACTTAAAATTGATGAAAATATACTTTAAAGTACATAAACAAATCCAAAAACTTGCAAGTTTGCAAAACAAGAAAACGATGAACTATTTCATACTGCAAATTTAAAATTTGTTTCGAAATAAACGAAATATATAATATGGTATATCTGTAAAACCAAGCCCAAACATCAAGAATCCAGGGGCGTAGACTACATAAATTGGTTTCTTTACATATTATTCCTTCATTATCGATATAACCGATTTTAATGCTGAATCATCGTTTCTCCCTGTTTTATTTCGTTAAATACGAATACACCTTGTCGCGATGTATTTAAAATATTTCTCGAATCAATACATTACGCTCCTTATAATGAGAAATAATAACAGAAGTGGAACTGTAAAACAATAACACTGATTACTCGATGGCGAAAGGGTGTGGCAACGCCATTGAGTCGTTACACGCAGGAATAGAGCAAGTAGTGGGATAATACGTGCGATTGCGTATATTTGTGTGCGCGCACGCGTACATATATATATATATGTAAGTGAATAAGCGAGAAAGAAAGAAAGAAAGAATGATGCCGCGTGGAAAGGAGAAAGAAACTGACTGAAGTGCAAAAGAAATAGACAGAATAAGAAGCGAGACGACCGTAAAAAAAGAGCAACAAAAATGAAGAGAGAAAGAGAAAGAGGGAGATGGTAGAAGTGGCGGAAACTCAGAGCGGTGGAGTGCGGATGGGGACAAGGATGAACCACCTTAAAGGGGATAGCATGAATCATAAGTAATCAATATTATACCTACGACCGATATAGAAAAATTTTGAATGATATTTAACTCCTATACCATCTAAAAAAAATTGCTATTTTAAAATTTAATTTCATTTCTGAAATGTTACTTGTGATTATAATAATTAAGTATCTTTGATTTGAAAAATATGTTCTGAAATAATATGGCCGTTTCCTTTATTGCCGTCTTCACATATATACCGGGGATATATATGCTGTTTTTATTAAATTTAAAATATTCTTTCGTCCGTAATTTCATATTCTTATATACATATTTTTAATCAATTGCAAAATATATATATATATAGTACAAATGTAGTCGTATTATTCCATGATTTGAATCTTTTCTTTAAATAGAATTGGAATTCATATTTAGGGAAAATGTAAAATATTTATTATAATTCTTAAATTATAATTTATGTATATAGTAATGTCATTAATAATAAGTTGCTTTATTTTGATGTAAAATAACAACCATGGTATAAATCGGTATGAAATAACATTAGTAATAGAAATGTAGAATATATGACTAGAATCGTGTAAAAATAATTCATATGTTAATCCTCATTCTTATAAAGAAATGAAAAATGTGAACTATTTTGTATATTTTTTTGTATTGTAATCAACTTTCTGGTTATAATTGCAGCTATGCGCTGAATTTATGAGAAGTTTGCAAAATAAAAATAATATTAAAACAAGAAAGTATAAAATAATTTAAAAATAATTTAATTTTTGATAATTTTATCGTTTACATGCATATGTTAGTTTTTTAATATTTTGATCATATGAGAAACTATACTACAAATTTTCGTAATATTATCAACTAGCAATTAATAAAAATCATATCATAAGCATGAGACGATTTCAGTTATTTCACTATAAGCAAAATTTTATGTCATATAATACGGACGTTGCTAATACCGTTATGCAGTTTTTCCCCACATACATACTTAAGTAGTTTATTGCGTTCACAAAATATTCTTAAAAATAGAGTAATATAATATACAAGAATAAAAAAATTTATATAATGATATTGATTTGTATATAATTGTCATGTTTGTTAACTTCTTTTCAAAACAATATATTTTTAATATTACTTTCATGAAATTTTTACTGCAAGCAACTTCAAATATTTCTGTATATTTTTATGTGATATGAAGTTATGCTTTTTCTTTTATAAAATGGTAATCGTGTTCGATACATGTTAAATATGTTCAGTTTTATATAAAAGGAAATTGATTCCAAACATGTATTTACTGATGCGTGATATAATTTCTTTAAATCTTATATTAGTATTTTATCTACTTTTATTATCTATAATTTCTTGAAACTATATTTCTTGTTTAATACTTCCATTAACTTGTTTAAATAAATTACTCAATACATTTTATTTTTGCAGTAATAATATATCAGTAGGGCGACATTATTGTAAAGCAAGGGTTAATTATATTTTGTATGTACATATATACATTTATAATTAATATTATTTAACGTTCTACAAATTTGGTAACTGTTTTCAAGCAGACATATTTATTTCTTCGTTAAATCGTAACGGTTGACTTGTGTGGTATAATCCATACATCTGAGCTAATATATTAATAGCAGCTACCTCTCTTGCTTCTGAAATGGTTTGTCCAAAACCTACAAATGTAATTAGTTAATTATTTGTTATAAGATACTTGTGCCTTTCAAATATTTAAAAATATTACCTGAACCTAAATATTCTTTGTTTGCATAAATTCCAATATGATAGGCAGCTAAAAGTGTATTTCTTCCAGTTTGTCCAATAAGTCTTGCTTCTATAGGTGTTTTCTTCTCTGTAGAAATTACATCATTTAACATTTCGAATGGTTTAGTTGGGCACCATATTTCAGTTAGATCTTTGCTTGCTAATCCTACTATCAAAAAATCTCTGACAAAAGCACTTGTGTGATCAATATTAACGCTTTCAGCAAGTGCTCCCACGAGTGCTGTAAATGTTTGTGCCAATGTTTCTTGGGACACAGGATGTTCCTAAATAATATATAATAAAGTTATTAGTTTATAACAGAACAATGAATTACTAAAATAGTTAAGTTATATACAAACACTAGTTAAAATGATGTCTTTTGTTCCAATATGTAAAGCTGCTGTAGCTAATATCTCTTGAGACAAAAGATAGTCATGAAGTGCCCTAAAATATAAGTCGATATATTAGGAATGAATTTAGAAATTCAAATCTGCAGTTTATATAACATGAAAATTTTGTTTTTTGATTATAGCTGATACATTTTTTATAATACTTATGTGCATACACAAATACATATCATACAGTTTATACATACATAATACCAATTTCAGGAAGACGTGGTAAACTTTTATTTAAATACTTCTTTACAACTGCTGAAGTTATTTCTCTCCCTTTTTTAATATATTCTTCGTTATGTTGCACATCTAGTTTAGGATCCTCTATTCCCATATTTTCCTGCTTTTTTAATTCATCAAGGATATATGATTTGTGTATAAAAGCTTGATTCAATTTCTCAATATCGAATTTTTCTGAAAGTCTTTGATTAAATGCATATATTTCTATATTTCTATTCCACTCAATAAAATTACTACGTTTTGGTTCAGGTTGAGGTGGTAACCTCCTTTTTCTTCGGGTTATTTCAAATTGAGTTGGAGCAACCCATCGCTGAATATATCTGCAAACTATATTTGCAATTAAGATATTATATACTCATTTTCTCATACATTAGAGTTTTTATCCATATATTTACCTCCATAATTTACATACTTTATGCTCGTAAGACTTTGGAAACATAATTGTAACCTATTCATATTTTTATTTTATAAGAAATATAATTGAGTTTTTGTCAAAATATAAGTTTTCACTTCAAATGAGAATTGTTTCTATTAATGCTATAAATGCAGATTAAAATATTAAAACTGTTCATTTATTTTAATATTGTTTACAATATACTACAATTACAACCATAGAAATATAAGAATAGAATACGTCAGTGCGTAAGAAAGAGAACGCTGCATAGAGGCCGTCCAACAACTCCTATTGAGGGAGATATCGCCATTTTGATGTATTTTAATTCCCTTATTAACCGTATGGTTCTAGTACTATCATGAAACTGCCTTAATGCAAATGCACATTTAGTGATTTACTCTGCTTTACAACGGGCGACAGAAACTGTCACTAGGCTGCCATATATCAGAATAGAAAAGAGAGGCGGGTAGAAAAAAAACAGAAACGTCTATACGATCGTGATTGTGCTTGGGAGAAAAGTGTATATGGTAAAGATGTTTTGTGTATGTATTGTGCTGGATTGCAGTAGTAAATATAAATACAACAAAAAATATTCGTTATTTAAAATCTCCAAAAACGTGGATTTAAAAAAAAAGTAATTGCAAGCCATTTCTGAAATAACACAATTAAGATCACTATAACCGATGCGTCAAAAACATTTTAAAGACAAATATATAATAAGAAAAAATGTGATTCAAAGATACAATTATTGCAACATACTGTCTGCGAAATTAGTACTGTTTTGTGTATGTTTATGTTGTTATAATAATAAATACAAAATATTGAATGCATATATAAAAAATAGTTCATTTATTTTAAATATTAATTTTTCATTGTTTAATTTAGTTAAATTATCTTCTACTATATTAAGGGGTAAAAAATCTTTTTTTAGTAATAATCTAACTCGAAGATGCAATCTGATATTTCCATTTTTACAAAACTAGCTTTATTTTGTTCTTTGTTGTAAACAAAATTCAGTTCTGTAGTGTTTATTTTTTACCTGATAACTGTTTCATTTATTCTAAAATGTTTTCAATAAATAAATTTACAACAAAATTTACCTCCGATGATTAAGTACCTCCTTTGGTTTTGAAATTTGAAAATGGTTATTTTGCGCCAAATAACGCATTGGTCGCGATCATCCTACTGTGCTCTTGGCTGCTGTGACGCATGCGCACTGAAAAAATTGTATGATAGCGCCATGCAACTTGTAAGGGAATATAACAAAATGATGACATCCCCACCACTAAAAATTGAGCGAGTTGTCAGACTTGTATATAAGTCCATGATTTTTACATTGAGTCGTGTATCTATTAACTTGTTATTTTACAGTGATTTCAAGTAATATCATATCTATAAATTGTGTCATTAATTGAAACGCATATTTTGATAAAATTTACGTGATTAAAATTGTATTAAATTTTGATAATTATATTTAATAATAATCAATTTCACATTATAACTAAATTAATAAAATTTTTTTTTATGTGGAAAGGTCAATCAATGTATTTTTATATTAACCAGTGTGTATAACAAAATGTTGATTCTGTGTAATATAATTAAATAAATCGACAACAATTTTGCTTAAAAAATAAAATTTAATTCATGAACATTATCATAACCGCGAAACTGATTAATATTAAATAATGTTTAAATCAAATCAGGAACCAGACATACCTGCAGCACTAGGTCTGTTATCACATTTAACAAACGATGAACTGAAGGAATTATTAAACGATGATTCAAAATTTGAAGATATTGTAAAAGATGTAAAGCAGGTAATTAAATTGTTACTAGAGGTATTTTACGTTTCCAATTTATAATTTTTCTATGTGTGGAATTTTATGTAATTCACATCTTTTCTTTCTATCAGTTTAAGAATTTAGAAACTGAAAAAGAATTATTAATGGCAAGTAATACATCTCTGGCAGAGTTTAATTTATCAAAACAACCAGAATTACAAGAAGGTAAACAAATATTAAAGGAACTTAGTGAAAAAGGAAGTAGATTATGCATGAGCGTAAAAGAAAAATTGGATGAGATAAGTATGTATTCTTTCTTTTTCCCTGTACTAGTACTAGTTATATATTCTACATAATATATAAATAATAACTAACACTTATTATATTTTTTCTAATATTTACAGAAAATAAGTCTGGGGAAATGACTGCTGATACTGCATTAGATTTATTGCAAACAGCAGCAGCGGAAATTGAAGAAGAATCAGAAGTATGACTTAATACTATTATAATTATTAATACATTGCCATTCTCATATTTCATTTTGTTAATTTTTATTATATTTATATTTCTTCTTTTATCATTCTTTTCAGAAAGATTTATATGAAACTCATTTGTTTGGCAATGTGTTAAAATTCTTGAACATAATTTGTGATTTCTACAAAGTAATATTTGTATTTTTTAATATACAGACCATAGCTGAAAAATTTCTGGCTGGAGATATGGAAGTAGATGAATTTTTAGAACAATTTTTATCACGTCGAAAATTAATGCATCTACGTAAAGTTAAAGTAGATAAATTGAGAGAGTTAATAAGAAAATCACATACCGCTGTTGGTCCTGGATATCCAATAGCTAGTAATTTTAGAAGTCTAGCTCCTGCTGTTCCTTATCCAGCTGGACCTGTTTCAATGCCAATGCCTGTACCATCTGGTTTTCCATATTTTAAACCATACTAAGTTACATTTATTACAATACAGCATTGTATTGCAATCAGTTAAGTTTTTAAATATTGAATTTTCTTTAATGTATAAGAAATACGTAATTTTAATTAACAATATTTTTAAGTGATTAACGCATATGATACATCAAAATATTTGTAACATTTAATTAATAGATAATATAATTAAGATAATTTACAACCAATGTATTAGATTTTGTAATGTTATTGTGATATATTAAAATAGATTCGTTTTCTGAAATAAATATGTTAAAATATATAATATAAACTGTATGTACACGTTTTTGATATTGGGGTTAATGAAATAAACATGTAAATGTTATCATGTTCCACATAGACATATTTTTCATCACAATTTTCTTCTTATATCGTGTTCTTTATGTAAATAAAGACTAATTTTAAACATACAATTGTTACTTATTTCTATGCTTCTGTGCAACTTTGGAGTCCTTATATTTCCTATTATTTATGTATTCATAAATGACGATTACTATTGCTATCAACATTACTAAATTTATCACAATAAATATATCTAGACTGCTGCGTATATCTTCCATAATTTCCTTATTTATCGTTTTTTTTTCATTTGCTGATAGATTCTTTTGAAATGTATCACTATAATGTTGCTGTACCCACTCATCAAAATTAAAAATGTTTCTAGGTTGATTTTTATACAGTTCGATGTCTTTTGGTTTAAACCTCTCATATCTTTCAATTTTCAAACTCTGCAAATCCTGATTAATTAGTTGAGTTCTATCATATTGTTTACGTGTTTTATATTTACTAAGTACGTCATATGCATTTGAAATTTCATGAAACATTTCTTTTGCAGATTCACTTTTATTCTTGTCAGGATGAAATTTTAATGTCAGTTCATAATATGCAGACTTTATTTCATTATAAGTTGCAGTTGGTTGCAATCCCAACGTCTCATAATGCGTTTTAGTTTTCGTAGCTAGATTTGCTATTACAGATATTGATAACATAGATTGTTTTACACATTTAAACAGAACTCCTTTATTTACATCTATCAAAAAACAATGAATAAGCATGTTCTTCAACGTTTAGTCTTTATTACTATAAGCTTATTTTCATATACTGTGAACAGTAAAGATTATTTTATAAATTTATGTACACTTTGTTATATCTTATAGCAAAATATTTCATGTTTTGTTAAAAGACTGATATAATCTATAACCTAAAAAGAAAAAAAGAATAGTTAATTAAATGTTACAGTATATTAGAAATTATGAGTAAAACATTATTATGTATTAATATGAAATTATCATATTAGCTAACCAACATAACCATTGTCTGAATATATAAATATATCTATATTCAATAGTATTTGCTTTATACAAGAGTATATTATTATCATATATTACAGTAATCAATATTAATTTGATTGGATCTCTTCAAATTTATGGAATATTACAAAATTAGACAGAATATCGGTAATTATCAGAAATGTTGTAATCTAGATTAATAGTCAGGTACAAATTGTTACATGGTTATTTGGATAAAAAGATAAATTGTTGTTATCGGTAAATTATGATATATGTCTTCAATATTAAATAAATAATCTCTTTGTTTTGTCACACGCATTTTTTAATTAACATTAATTAACTAATTTAATGAAATCTTATGATGCATGAAATAATTTCCAAATTTATAATTAATTTTAAAATGCATACATTTTAATCTTACCACTTTAGAAACTTAATAATAAACGAATAAAAGATTATTTGAATATTGTTTAGTAATTAAAGTAAACAACAGTCTTTTGTTAGAACTGAGCAGATTACAAGTAAATATATATGTATATAATAAATAATCTGTGTTATTAAATATAGATTATTGTGGCGTAAAATATATCTAAATATAAAACAGAATATCAGAATTTTATAACATTTAAATGTTGCGTCAAAAATAATAGAACAGATTCGCGATCATCTTCATGGTATCAAGGCAGATACACAATAGTTTTATCATTGAGATGTTAGCATAATGAATGTTTATTTATTCCATAATATCGAATATTTTTTATGGCATAAAAAATGTAAATAATATATTATTCTCTTTTATGTAAAAAAAGACCATTGCATTCTATTTAGTTGTCACATACATGAACACTTCGTAAAAATAATTAATGGCAGATCTACGTGTAAATCTACATGTAAACTTTCCAAAAGAACTATTAAATTTATTTTGATTATCATACGATTGTATGGATCAGGTTAACTGGTGATGATAAGTGTACTAAAAATTTAATCTATGTAAAATGTTTTGTATATGGCTAAATGTCAACGTAATTATGTGTGTGTATTATGCTGCAATGGAACATAATATGATTTTTTATTGAGTTAAGAAAATATACATATTATTAAAAAACATTAACAATGCCAAACCGAACTGAAATTGGTAAATAAATTAATTTATATATATAAGAGGAAAAATATAAAAAAATAAACATATTTTATATAAATTTTATATTTAGGTGTTATTCCTGATAATTTAAGGCACGAGGAAACAATAGTTCAAATAGCAGAAGCTCTTGACAATCTAGATTCTGCTGTTAATTATATATTTGAGTCTATTGATAAAAGGCTTTTTCAAAATGGTCAAAGGTACTTTTCTTCTATATTACTAAATATTTTAGGAATTAAAATTTTTTTAATTTATACAAAAATGTTAATACATTTTTTTTCTAGATTGTCAAATGTTAAAGATAGGGCCACAAAACTTCAAGATCGATTAAAATATTTACAAACTAACTTAAATTTAAAAGCTGTAAAAATGTTTTCTGCTGCAAGGTATCCTGCTAGTCACACATACAAAGAATATGAATTGGCTATACCGCCTCAGTGTGATGATATCAATAAGATACCGAAAGTTTACAAATGTTCTGTACCTATAAGAGATATTCCTGAAACATATCTATCTTCTAATTGTAAAACAGAAGATGGCCAATATGTATCAAATAATAATCTGCAAGAAAAGCTACAATTTTATCATGTTCGATCTAAATCTAATAAAGAACTTTATACAGATAACAACGAAGTGACATTTCCTTTTGAATTATCTTCGATCAATTCTCTATTGTTCAGTAGTATGGACAATCCATATAAGATATCTACTAAACAGACTTCCCACAAATTAAATGACAAACAGCAAATAGAAGATGCACCAGATTCAATTATACAACCATGGTTATCATCAGAAATGGATTTATCTAGTAGTTATCTATATACACCAACTTTAGGAGAGGTAAGATCTTTTATTAAAATTTAATTTTAATATTATTTAATTACAATATATTACTTATAAAATGTAAAGAAGGATACAGAACATATTGTCACATGAAATATTCTATCATGCAGGTGCCACAGATAAATGTGCCGCTAATACTTCCGGATCTACCTGGAATTGTAGACGATGAAAAATTCGTTTTAGACTTTAATTCTCAAAGTCCTATTGCACCTTCCTCAGCAGTAACCACTCCTACCGTTCGGCTTGATCTACCAACTCCAACATCAACAATAGACGAGAAGGATTCGAGTACAAAACATGACCGAACTATCCCAAACTTACCTGGCTTTGCCGATACCGATTTCTCAAAAGATTCTACTGAGCCTGCTCCACCACCTCCTCCTCCTCCCTTGATCGCATCAGACACGTCGACTTCTGCTTCTTCGAACTCTAAGACTGATAGCCGTTCCTCATTAGTCTCATCGTTGTTAGATCCATCGATACCACCGCCACCGCCACCGCCACTACCACCGCCACCTCTTTCTCCTCCACCGCCTCCACCGCCACTGCCTCCAGTTGAATCCAAAACAACCATTCCTGAATCTCAAACTAAAGATTCAGACAAAAAGAAAATTGTTAAGGATCTGAATAAAGCAATCAAACCGGATGTCAGATCTAATTTAATGGAAGCTATTCGCAACGCTGGTGGTATAGGAAGGGCGAAACTGAGACATACTGTACCACCAGAGGAAAAAGAAGGAAATCGTTGGTCCTCTGCATCCGTTGGAGGAGACTTAATGGCTGATTTGCACGCAAAATTAGCACTCAGAAGGAAGGGAATCGCTGGGTCCGGAGGTAGTGCTCTCGAAAGAATGTCCAGCTTGATTCCTCCTCCTCCCAAACCAAGCGATGCAGTTGCGTCAGATAGAAATTCGGCCACCAGCGAGTACGACTCTCAACCAGATACCGATGATTGGGACGAGTAACGCTACTCGATATTGTTAATTATGTACAGTTTCTAATTCAAATTTCATTCACTTATCATATTTAACATTTCATGTATAGTTCCATTCATAAATTATTGGAAACTTACTTGGGAAATTTATAACAAAATAGAATTTATGTTATAAAATAATCTAATTTTGTAAAACATGTTAGTATTTGTATATTTGTTAATTGTATATATACATATATTATGCAGAAAAGATCTAAAATTATACATAAAATCTTGAATTCATTATTTTTAATAATTATATTTCAAATTCATTTTTTGTCATTTTTATTAACGATTTCATTAAATAATTTCAATTTTAAAAACTTGTACATTTATGTACATTAAAGTTTTTTGACAATTTTTCCCTCCATTGAACTTTGCTCTTGTTTTATCTTTTAATCTTCTTCACATAATCCTAAAAAAGAATACTTAATTACATGTGGTGAAAATAATGGCCAAAGTTGGAATTAAAAGGGTTCCTGGCTGTCTTTAGTAATAGTAAAAACAATTAATTGAATTAAAAATAAATTCTAATAGAATTTTACCATTTTTCTAAAATGGAATCTTCGTTATTGTCATCAGCATTCGACAGTAACATAATAACAGCGTATTCTTATCGGTTTTGATTTAACACTTGACCCTAGATTAGCGGACCAATCGTCTGTAGGTTTATAAATGTTAGTTGCACCATGGAATTTGCAGTTTTTGCTTGGATGTTCCTGTCTTTGATATTTCAGTTATCATCTCTTTATTAAATTCATTTAAGCTTTAAATTCTTAGTTAAATTGTGATTTAACTTTACAAGTTAATTTTCGTCTTATTTTTGCCATTCTTTACAAATAGATGACTTTTATCTCACAAACATTGTTATAAACTATATAATATGAACTACGTACCAGTTTTCGAAGAAGTGTCATATTCTGTTTAAATTTTCTTATTCATACGTTGTTTAAGCATGTATTACTTTGATCCACGTGTGTTGAAAATTTAAGATAGTGAAACCGAGCTTAACCGAGAAAATGAGAATTATATATAAAAGAAGATATAGAAAAAATTGTTGGAACAATGGATAAATTTTGAACGGTGTTTTATCAATAAAATCTTTCTAATTAACTAAAAACTAAATTTTATATTAAAGTGAATAATTAATATAAAAATCCACAATTAAAAAGATTTAAAAGATTCGAAATTTTGGTAGAAAATGTTGGGACATTAAAACATACTTCATGGCATTATGTGTTTAAGAAGAAGAAGACAATCATTTCTACGTTCATTAAAATATCAGAGACGAATTAATTTGAAAGAATCTGAAAAAATTAATCAAATTAATTGCAATTGAATTTGAACAAAAAATGGGGAGTGATTTTTGTTATAGTCGCAGTCCAAAGTGTCGTACAAATGAATAATGAATTTATCGATATCGGTATCAAACGCTGTTGATATTTGAACAACAGAATGGATTAAAGTGTAAGATGTATGGTGTTATGATAGAAGAGAACGAATGACATAATATGTATTTGTAATTCGTATTAATTACTGCAAAAATTAAGGGTGCACACATTTTACACATGACGAACGAAATGTATGATGAAGATTAATCTTCATAATTCTTGATATTACAACGTATCCCTCGTTATTTGACTACTTCTTTTTTTATTAGTTTTGCACACTTCTACATCCGTGTACTGATGATATAATTGTATGAGTTACAAAATCACTATTTTGAGAAAGCTTTGGATAAAACGATAACGCAAAAACTCTGGCTGTTCAATGGTCATTCTTTATCTGTGCTTGTATTTTTCTTCTTTATCATCTTGGTACCATCTCAGTTTTAAATATTTGACTTGATATATTTTTGTAGAAATTAGTTATGACAAAACTTTGTTTTAAGAGGTTCCGATCGTACGTGAATTCTGATTTTAGGGAAATGTAGAAAATAAAAGAAGACATTTCATTCACTAAAATAATTTTTACTTTATGGTTTATTATCAAGGTAAAGCTATATTCTATTAAGATAAATTCTTTTTTTAATCATTTATAAGGTCATCATTTCTTTCTAATTTGGTATTAATTCGTCGTGTTTTTATAATAATTTTTAAATTCCAAATATAATTCCAAATTTAATTATTAATTATTTATCGATTCATTTGATACCAGAATTTCTAAAAGTATTGAGATACATTATGGAAAATGGAATAAAAACGATTAGTTCTATGGAACTGTCCAATTCGCGGGCAAATATTTCGAATGAAGTGGAATTACCGATTGATATGCGTTTCAACGAAGGCCACATTGTTAGTATTGTCTTTTACAGCGTGTTAATGATAATATCTGCAATCGGAAACACGACGGTGTTAGTATTAATTATGCGTCGCAAACGTGTATCCAAATCGAGGATACACACGATGTTAATGCATCTTGCGATCGCTGATCTACTTGTAAGTATAATTTAGTATATTCTTCTCTCTTTATCAATATTGAAATATTGTAATAAAATTTAATTATAATTGCATTATAATTGCTATAGCTTTGGTTTGTAATTTATAACTAAATTTTTCGAAGATCGATAACTTTTTGCATGAAAATCTAGTGATCCCTTAATTTTTCGTAATGTAGTTGTAGATTAATTATGGTAATTTTTCTTGAGAAAATGAATTAACGCGTTCGTAATTACAAGCTAATATCGTAACAATTATATCGTTAAAAAGTTCACTACCGACACATACCATAGATAGACTATAAAATAAAAGTAAGGTAAGACACTACGTACAATTTGCCTCTATGTATTAACAAACATTAATACCATGCAATAATGCTACGTAAATCAATGATCTGTGTACAGAGTATTTTCCATTCAAAATAATCGAACTAGTTTAATATCTTTTATAAATAAATAGAAGGAAAATACATACTACATAGAAACGAGTTTTATTAAATAAAATTATATTAACCTGAAACAATTTTCAGGTAACTTTTTTAATGATGCCATTCGAAATCGGTTGGGCGGTCACAGTCTCCTGGGAAGCAGGAGACGCAATGTGCCGAATAATGGCTTTTTTTAGGATGTTCGGTCTGTACTTATCATCTTTCATTCTGGTATGCATAAGTATGGACAGGTCAGTTTAATTTTTTAAAGCAATCCTATTTTTTCTGTTTTTTCTTTCTTTTCTCACTCAATATAGTAAAAAAATTGTACTGACCATTTTAGGAAGCTTACGTCGCATTTCTTTTTTGTAGCTCTCAATTGTTGAATCAACTAATTTTTAAATTTTTCTATACAAAAAAATTACAAATGTAAAACTTACATTGTTTATACATTATATATTATAATTTGTTATAAATATAAAAAATAGCTATAAAAAAGAAATTCTCATATACTATTGATCTGCTTTTACATTTCATAAAATCATGGATAAGGCAGTGAAATAAAAAATAAAGTAATAATGAATTCTATTTTTAGTGGCATCATAGTTAAATTTCTAATAATTTTTTACAAAATTGAAATAAAATATTACTGAAAAATATTAAATTTTCTAATTTCAGATATTATGCAATAATAAGACCATTGCAATTGTGGGATGTTAATAGAAGAGGAAAAATTATGTTATGCATCGCTTGGGCGGGATCTGTCGTGTGTTCAGTGCCTCAGGTATTTATAATAATTATAAATAACTGATAAAAGTGGAGAATCTTACATTTTCTAATTTAGTTCAAAATACACATAGTATATCTACTGTAATTTTTTTCTTCCTTAGATGTTTGTATTTCACCTGGAAACTCATCCAAATATCACATGGTATTCGCAGTGTGTCACGTTTAATGCATTTCCAACATATACTCACGAAATAACTTATTCTCTCTTTGGAATGATCATGATGTATTGGTTTCCCCTTGTCGTAATAATATACACCTACGCGAACATTTTACTGGAAATATGCAGAAGATCGAAAAAGAGCGAAGGTAATATATATAAATTTTAGTAAATTCTTATAAAATCAGAAAACAATTTACTTATTTTTCATGGAATAGTAAATGGTTAACGAATTTCAGATAAAATTCGTCGTTCTTCTATGGCTTTTCTTACACGAGCGAAAATACGAACATTAAAGATGACGGTGATCATTGTTGCTGTATTCTTTATTTGCTGGACACCATATTACGTAATGAGTCTTTGGTAAGTGCTATTACTCGTTAATAGGAAAACATATGTATTAGGACATTGAATCCTAAAGTATCCTATATTATATACATAAGTCTATCTGACATTGAAAAAAAAATATATCTAAATGTATAGGTATTGGATTGATCGAAATTCAGCATATAAAGTTGATCAACGAATCCAGAAAGGTCTCTTTCTATTCGCATGTACAAACTCCTGCATGAATCCTATTGTTTATGGTGCATTTAATATTAGAGATCGTAATAAGGTAAATATTTCATCTTCTACTCGATAACTATATAAATAGATATCTATATAATTTAATGTTATTTCAGACATCTGTAAGACCAACTACTATAGAAACTCGAGTCACTCCATTGTCACTGTCACTCAAGCTTCTTGATTAACGTTTACTTTTCTGTAAGAGATGTTAATTAGAATTGTAAGTTAAGTCTAGTCCTCAATATCAAACTTAACTGTGATTGACCATATACTTCAGAAAATGATATTTGCTATAATTAAGTACTAAATATTAATAGCTTTTTTGGATGAAGACCAAATATGTTGTAAGTTATTCTTACAATAGGGTTGGATCCGAATATCTGAGAATACAGGTTCGGGATGAATCGGAAGAATTCGGGTGAGATCCTGCCCGAATCTTTCCAACCCATCCTGAAGCTTGGATTTCCAAGTCCTTTACAACCTTAAGCACCTGTATATATTTAAAATAATAATTAAATTATTAAACTTCTCTAAAGTAACAATACTATTTATTCGCTCATTTGTATGAAATTTAAATAAAGTTATTTTCTTACAATAAAAAATATTAATAAAATTGATAGTTCTTCATATAATTGACATAAAGATTTAACAGTCACAGAAAAAACAGAGAATTATTACAAATCATATATTTGCTTTATTTTATTAGTACATAACCTGTGATAAAACATTCCTTTTATTTTTTTACATTATGCTAAGTAACTTCTTGCCTGAAAGTGTGTTTTAAAAAATTAAAAACCATTACAAAACTACATCAGTAACATGCTCTCTTAAAAAGAATCAGTCGAAAACGGAAGCACACATTCCCATATTATATCGATAATTTAAGCGAAATGCACTCTAAAATGATTAAAACATATACATTCCTTGCAACCGTTTAAGACGCGTGTCCACCAATCACGCTAATAGTTTATAAACGTTTGCAAGCCTATTAACCAGTCAATGCACAGATGGAACAAATATGCACGGAAATATTTACTAACATTTGTAAATTCTTTTCAATAATTTCGACAGAAGAAATATAATAAGATCCTAAACCAGTATTGTCCACACGAATAGCACCTTATGTGGTTGTGGATTTCTTATAAATCACAACTATCAAACAAACAAAGGCACGATGAAGAGACAAGACTACTATCGTCTTCAAAAACTAGCTTTATCTATCCTTATTTATTAGTATTTGAGCGATATTTAATAAATATTCACCACCAATATTTGCTAACATCTCTAAATGCTCACAAACATTTGTAAGCATTTTACACGATCGGTGGATACGCGAATGTGTGCAGCAATCTTTTTTTTATTTTGAGCAGATATAGGGAACCTTTATTTAAAGAAAGTGATTCTACTAATCTTATTCTACTACTCAAAAAATAGATAAACTAGGAGCGAACTTAAATTTATCTAAGATAAGATAAGACAAACCATGACGTGTCAATATACTCGGCATTATAGGAAGTTATATGAAAGAATCTCAAACATGGCTGTATTTTAATAAATTATGTTATTGTATTATATTAAAACAGTTTCATTGAAATTGTATCAAAATGAGCAGTTTCTTCATTTCATTAATGATCATGACTTATTTACGGTTTCAAATGACGATATGAGTCTTATTTTAACGCTGTTAAGATTTTACAGCCCTATTTTTTATATAAGTATTTTATAACTGTTATTTTAAAGTAAATTTTAAAGAAAAATTTACAATATGATTTTTACGCATTTTTGATTTTGCACAAATATTCGAGTTATTTATAATAGGGAAATATAAAACACCATGTATCGTAAACACAATTTTTTGTACAAAAGAATAGTCAATAATGCATAGATAGATTTTTGCCAAAAGTCTTTAATGAGTATAGTTTAATTCAGCATGAAACGTCTCATATGCAAACAGCACCAGTACTTACGTTTCTTCACCACTTTGGATGAATTTGATGGAAAGACCACTGTTGATACGTATTATTGATATCACATGGCATTAGTGATAACTGTTGAGTTTGAGGATGAAGTGCCATGCACTTCTTGTGCACTCTGTGTAAAAGCGTCTTTGTTTTCTGCAAAAGTAATATATCATTTATAATAAAATAAAAAATTGGGCAATAAAATGGTAACATATTCATTGACATTTACCTCATCGTATTGCCATGGACCATCTACAGTCCCTAACCGGCAAAATACGAATTTCACTCCTTGACCATCAGCAGATATGCATCGTTCTCCGACACCTAATTGACCTTTAGCGTTTAATCTAATTAACTGAAAAATGAAACTATATAAATCATAATTCATAAATAAAGAATTTTGCTTGAAAAGAGATATAAAAAGTAAAAAATTACCTGATTATTACCAAATCCATGACAATCAGTAGTAGCCATTAAACTAGGAGGCGAATGACTCATTGTATCCAAACACATTCCTGTCGCTATGTTTCGCAACTAAGATTAAAAAGAAAATAAAAAAAAGAAGAAAAAATTCAGTGACATGTAGAAACACACATAAAAAATTACGACATAATATAACATAAAAAATTATAGAACATAATAGAACAAAAGATTATAGGCGATAGATATTGTTATTATTACCTCTCCCCAGTGAATATTAGGTGGTAATTCGGGAAATTTATCAAAAACATCATAAGCAACATTTTCCATATACCATTGAAAACTTTTACACCTTTTCCTTCTTTTAAATTCTAATTGCTCTGATATATCACCATGATCAAGCAATTGCGCTAGTGGTTCCCTTGTATAAAAGAATTCTTTATATTTATCATCAAACCAAGTTTCAACAACTCTTTTATAATTCTAGAAAGAGTTAACGATTTTTATAAATTTATATTAAATCATATGTTATTTTATATCCTTCAAATTAATTTAAACCCATAAAAATGTTTTACTTACTATGGTTATCAGCGGTCCTTTTTTTTTTTGAGCCAATTTTCCAAATGTATAGGGCATAAACCCTCTATACACATGACCAACGTGCGAACATGGTACCCAAAGAATATTTCCCCCACATTGCCATATTTTAAATGATAACTCAAAGTTTTCTCCACCCCACACAAGCAATCCGTCATCATATCCACCCAACGACAAAAAGTATTCACGATTTATCGCAAATAAGCCACCAGCATGAGTAGGAGACCTGAAATAAGTTATTCCTGATATATGAATGTAAAATAACTTCATTCTACATGTCTAAGAATATTTTTTAAAATGTGAGTTACTTGTATGGCATGCTGTTATAAGGTCGAGATTTTTTCTCCCGTGCAGGAAGTTCATTTTCTTTATACAACATTCCCCATTCAAAAATACCTCTATATAAATGTCCTTCTTGATACACAGGTCGATACTCAAAGGTCTTATGGTCAATGCCATCGATAATAGGAACTGTCATCACAGTTCTAGAAATATTTAAAAGATTTTAATAAATTAACTTTCAGATGAATAATAGAGAATTTATTATTTGATAAAAAATTACCTATCAACAGCTATTGGGGCTAAGAGAGGTGGTAACCAGTTAACATTAACTTCACAATGTGCATCCAAAAACACTATAACTTCACCCTTAGCTTCACGTGCACCACGTGATCTCGTTCTTATTAAACCTTCTCTTTTATCATTTCTTATTAATTTTACTTTACCTTCCCACCGTTCTATATATGAATCTAAATCTCCTTTTAAATTATCTATAAAAATACATACTTGTTATTACTTTTATTTTGATACTCTTACCATATTACTGCTATTCACCTTTATCAGAAAAGTCATCTACAAGTAAAATTTCTTCTAAAAATTGTGGGGGAGTACGATTTATCACACTGTGAACAGTTCTCAGTAATACAGACCAACCTTCATTATGAAATACTATAATTACACTAGTTCGGGGGAGTACTTCTGGATAATTCCAGTGTTTACATCTGTAAACAGAATAAGTGAAAATCTAGTTTAAATATTACTGTTATAAAATGTTTAATTGTAGCAATATTGATTTACTCAGGCATTCTTGTATCAAGGATCGATCTATCTAATGAAATTTCGTCCGAGCACACCATATTCATGCCGTAATCTATTTCTGATTGTTGAACATCATTCTGTTGATCATCCCTAAGGATATAAGGTTTCCCTCCTTCTCCAGGTCCACTTCTAATTGATACATGCTTGAGTTCAAAATTACCAAGCTCTTTTGATAGAACTGGTACCTATAGAATAGTAGTTCATATAAAATACATTTATATAAAAGTATAAAAAACATTTTATCCTTTACTTTAAAAGAATTTCTTCCTTTAGTTCCTTTTTTAAATGTAATTATTGTTTTGAATGTATCTTTATCATACTATGCTAAGTGTAATATACTATAGGTGACATACTTATATTATTAGTCATTTATATGAGAAAATTTCAATGAATAAATTATTACAGTTCATTTTTGTAATTTAGCTTAAGACAAGATTACTTTTAATAGGATGTTGATACTTTTATGTTTAAAAAATTATGTTTATATAGTATAAAAACAATTTAATATTATATTTACCCGTTTAACTGTTTTTAGACTATCTGACCAATATTCCTTTAAATTGTTAATAGGCTTGTCAGAAAAAAAGTTTATAACAATATACAATGTGTAAAGCAAAAATATGCTACAGATAATAATACTGAAAAGACGATTTCGCCTGAGCTGTACAATTCTCATTTTGTTTAAGATAATCACACCTGAAATAAAAATTTGGCAATAACATTTTTATAATTCATAACATTTATCTCATTATATATTGAGAAATCTACATAAATATAAAATAAAAAATAATCTTTGGGTACATGACAAAAATAACTGATAAAGAAGAGAAAACGAAGTATGCAACGTACATAGCTGAAAATAATTAAAAAATTAAAACTTAAAATAGTATTATTGCTTCAATACTCATTTAATCACTACACAATCTAAATATTTGTTGAAATATTGTAGTAAAGAGCTAAAAAGAAAATATCTTTAATTACCTCAATTAAAAATACATAAACATATGAAATAGAATATGTATATTTCAGTAAATTAATCTTTTGAATATATTACAATGATATTAAAAATTATATCATAATAAACCGAATCATTATTCAAAGAATCTGAAGCTACGTTGCTTCACACCACAGCCAACGTGTCTTTTGCACACACTTAAGTACTTACTTACATACATATGTACGAGAAGAGTGTATATAAATACATATGTACTTACATACTTCTATCTTCTACTTTCGCATAAACCAATATGCGTTCGACATTTTTAAATTTCAATCAAAAAATTGATTAAAATATCGCTATCTGGCGTTCATTGGTATTGTACGAACTTGGTGGAAACATTGTACGCTATTCGAAAAAAAATGTATTCTCTGAAAACCACATACTATTTTTTCATTATACAAATTAATAAATTTACAAATGTTATCTTGTTAATCAAAGAAATGCAAATCCTATAATATTTACATAGTTTATATTGCATTGCATTATTGAGAAATATATAGCATCTATTAAAGTTTTATTACATAAACATCGTAAAATTGCATACGATGAATGCTTGACACATTGTTATGATAATTTAAATAATATATAATACAGTTACTTATAAAATTTTATTACTAAAATAAGATTAAATGAATATAATCAATTCAGTAAGCGTTTAGAAAGAAGAAATATTTTTCATGCAATAATACTGTGTTAATTGTCTAAAATTTGGTTTTGTTATCTCTGTTAGTTCTTTCAACTTAGACATGGAATGAAGTTATAGAAGTAAATAAAAATGTATTGAATATTTGTATCTCGGTAGCACTTTCAACCGGGAAGAAATAGTACCTACAACTATTTACTTAAGTAAGTATCTAAGATTTTCTAAACAAACATATAAATACTTCCCTCGATAGCTATACTTACTCGGATAAAATTTCTACTTTTTAGCAAATCATAAAGAATTACTATATATCAATGTAAAATCTTTTGATATATGTACTTATAAATCATTGTAATATTTTACACTTTTTCATTATAACTATGATTTCAATTAAACTAGTATTAAATATTTTTATTCAATTGCATATTTCGTATCAAATGAATAGTGTCATAGAATTTTTATGAAACTAATACAACCATACGAGTTATACGACTGAATGGAGATTGTTAGGAAAAATAAAATACGCTTATTTCTCAATATTTTCTTTCCTTTATCTCTAAAAATTTTATAAATATCATCAATATGTTATGACGACCAATCAGAAGACTGAACAGCTTCGAACCGGTGCAGTATATCTGCATGGATGTTTAGGTGTGAACTGGACTCGACAGATGTGGATTTCGTTTATTTTCAAAATTCGTGATTCTATCTTGGACTAAATGATGGCATCACTGTAATTTCAATTGTCGCCTATAACTCGAATGATCTTTATTGGAATTGTATGTATAAGAATAAAATTGAAAGTGAAAAATGAAAAAAGTCGGGACAACTGCATTTTCACAATGAAGATATTTGACTCATATAAAATAAATCTGATTTGATTGACAAAAGTCTAAAGTTTCTCTTTTGAGCATGACTTGTTTGTAGAAATTATCTATTAAAGTGCTTCTTTACTGAAAATTTTGGGGTTACTTAAAAACACAAATGGTGAGAGGATAAATTTTCTTACTCATATATATTCGTTATCGTTGATTATTTGAGTAAAACAAACATGATAGTATTTTGTGCGCCACGATACGCTGAAGTGGAAGGGGTAAACAAATAGCTATACAAGTCTATACAAGTCTATACTAAGCTATATGTCTCATAACGTCATCCATATATAAATTGACAACATTTAGTTTCTTCACAATTTTTGTAATTTAGTAAATAAATATCCTTGCATTAGATTTTATCGCGTGTGTAGTGTTTTTAATTATATTATTTCTCTTCGTATTTATCAGTGTTATTTATATATGCGATAATACTTATAATTGAAATTCAATCACTTTGAATTTTTTCTATAAATTCATTTTATTTTTAAGCAACAATGTCATTGTGCAATTAAGGCTTCTTTTGACACAGAATTAAAGATCTATTCTATGTTTTATTCTACAATATACATTCTTGTAAAATTAACTTATTTTTCATCTATTTTTTTGTATTACATGTATAAAATTGATCCTGTCAGTCTGATCCTGTGATCTGCAAAAATTTATACTCTGCTGTTAAACAATTAGCAGACAGTGAAATCGAGTTAATAAAAGCTATAGAAAATTCAGAGAAGATAAATAATAGAAATATTAAAAATACTATGTCTGTGACAGATAAGAAAAGTGCCAAAAATTCTGCAAAAATGTTTAATGTAAGTATAAATTTATGAAAAAATAACAATTGATACTAATTGTGTAATTTAATCAGGTTCGTCCATCTGCTGCTTTAATAGCAGCTAAACATGAAGCAACACAACGTGTACTACAAAGAAAGAAATCTAACAATGTTTTTGTACATGATATATATCAAAAAGCTATTGATGCATATAATATAAAAAGGAAGGAAACTGGCATTGTATTTGATCGTTCTATGACAGAACATAAATGCCTTTGGGATCCAAGTTATCCAGAATGTCCTGCTAGATTGATAAGAGTTATGCAGAGATGTGAGGAGTTAGGTTTAATAAATAGATGTAAATTCGTTACACCAAGACAAGCCTCAGAGGATGAAATACTAATGAAGCACAGCCAAGAACAGATAGATATTTTGAAGGCTACTGATGAATGTACAGATATAGATAGTTTAGAATTATTATCATCAACATATGATGCCATTTATATACATCCTGTATGTACTTATTTTAAATATAAGATCAAAATGTTAGATTTAAATATTGATTTATTTAAAATTGTTCTAGTCTACCTATCAATTGTCTTTGTTAGCTGTGGGTTCAACAATAAATTTAGTGGAAAGCATTTGCAAAGAAGAAATTCAGAATGGTATGGCCATTATAAGGTAATGTAGTAATGCTTGATTGATACATAAATGAATAAATAATAATAATATAATTGAAAATTATATTTTTTTATTTCTTAAAATATTTCAGGCCACCAGGACATCATGCAATGAAATCAGAATATTGTGGATATTGTTTCTTCAATAATGTCGCAATTGCTGCTGAAAAAGTTTTAAGTAGCAATTTAGCTAGTAAAATTTTAATTGTTGATTGGGATATACACCATGGACAAGCTACTCAGCAAATGTTCTATAATGACCCACGGTATGTAAATACTTTCGAACTTTCTCTAAATGTTTTTGAATAACTTTTGTATTACTTGGAAATTCTGTACAGAGTAATTTATTTTTCAATTCACCGTTATGAAAATGGAGAATTTTGGCCAAATCTTAGAGAATCTAATTTCCATTTTGTTGGAGATGGTTTAGGAGAAGGATATAATTTTAATGTGCCACTTAATAAAACTGGCATGACCAATGCTGATTATTTAGCCATATTTCAACAAGTTTTATTGCCAATGGCCTATGAGGTAGTATATTATTGCAATTTATAATAATCCAAATAATGTAATATTAATGCAAATATATTGTATAAAATATCAATATAATTTTCAATGTGATTTATATAAAATAAGTCAATTTTAATTATTCTAGTTTCAACCTGATCTTATAATAGTATCAGCTGGATATGATGCAGCGTTGGGCTGTCCTGAGGTAAAATAATAAATATTACTTGTTAACTTTTTTTTATCTTAGTTTAATTCAGATCTTGTGATTGTCTCAGCTGGATTTGATTCCGCGATTGGAGACAAAAAGGTTGATATATATAATAAATTTAATGTTGTTATATATATCAATAAATTATAGATAATAATTTCAATGTTTTCATTTTATGATATCCAGGGTGAAATGTTGCTAACACCAGCATGTTATGCTCATTTATTATCATCATTATTGAGTTTAGCCTCTGGGAAAGTTGCTGTTATATTGGAGGTATAAAATATATTTTCATTTTGTTATTAAATTTTTATTGCATATTTATAGCTTTCAAATATGCTTTCATTATATCTCTCGTTACAGGGTGGTTATTGTTTAAAATCATTAGCAGAAAGTGCAGCATTAACACTACGTACTTTGTTAGGTGATCCATGCCCTATGTTAGAAACTCTTACATTACCTTCAATAAGGTAAACCTGAGAATTCTTAGTATGACATATGCAATTCATTAATTACGTTTATATTTAACATGATTTTAGCGTACGTGATACCATTTTAAATACAATTTATGCACATAAACCATATTGGAAATGCTATCAATACCAAGATACATACAGTATTAATAGTACAACAAATAATAAAGAAGGAAGTACTAATCAATATTTACCAGTAGTTACATTCAAGTAAGAAATTAAACTAATTTTAACAAGAATTTTATTGTATTTAATTATTATATAAAAATACCATATATATATTTATTTTAGAGGAACTGATATTAAGCCTGAAGTGTATGAGACTCGAAATTGCTACCCAACTCAAAATAAAGAAGTTATCGAAATGATAGAAAAGCAGTTAAATACATTAATACAGTGTAAATATCAAGTTTAATAGTTAATAATAATTAATCCTATATATAACAACAAATTATATAAATTTAATTTTTTCTTTAGTTACTAATTTATCTAAAGCACCTAACAAAGTGTGCATTGTTTATGATGATAGAATGTTAAAACATTGTGATATGTCTAATGATAATCATCCAGAAAAACCACATCGTATTAATATTATTTATAAAAAATATCAAGAGTGCAATTTACTTGATCGATGTTATGTGCAACAGGTATGTTCATGTATTCACTTTGCATTATTAAATCTCTTTTATTAACACTAAATTTTTTATTTGAAATATTACATTTTGTTCGTTGATTATTTTAAAGGGACGAAGTGCAACAAGAGAAGAATTAATATTAGTCCATTCAAAAGAATATATAGATTCAATAAAAGATACAGAAAACTTAAACCCAAAAGAGCTAAAAAGGCAGGCAGAAAATTATAATTCGGTTTATTTGCATCCTGAAACCTGGACAAGTGCCTGTATATCAACTGGATCATTATTACAAGTAGTTGATAGCGTATTAAATGGAGAAAGTCAATCCGGTATTGCTATTGTTAGGCCTCCAGGCCATCATGCTGCAGAGAATACAGCATGTGGTTTTTGTATCTTTAACAATATTGCTGTAGCAGCTAGATATGCGGTAGAATTTCATCATGTAAAAAGGTATTATAATTAATTTTCTTTTAACCGTTTGAGTCCCAGAGATCTTTGAAAAAACAGAGTCGAAAAATTCCGAACAGCCAGATAGCGCTTGTCTTAATCGATTGCGAAGAGAAATAAGCGATGCAATAGCGCTCGTCATATTTGTTATTTTATGAAATACATCTATATTATTATATATG